ATATATATATATATATATATATATATATATATATATATATATATAGTTACCAATGTCTTGAGTGCCCTTCTTATGCATAAGGATGCTGCCCTCTTGTGGCAATTTTTTAAAGGGCTGGGAAGATGACGGTAAAGGGAAAGAGGAAAAAAAATGGATCGTTGAGAAGCAGCAAAGAGGGGAAAGCAGAGATGTTAAATCACCTTAGATTGCGATGACCGTAAGGGCAGACCCTAGCTTTTTAACATCCTGGTGATAAATACCTAAACTGTCATGCACTGGGGAAAAAGTGGTATCTATTCTATAGTCTCAGTCTCGATTATTAAATATTACTGAGGTGCTGTTGTGAGCCAAGACCATATTATACCACCTCTCCCTGCCCTAATGCACAAAGTCCAAGTGCAAACCTGGTTTTCATCTAGGGGGTTTTACATTTGCCCCGGTTGCTGAAGATAAGCACCTTCCATTTGTTCTTGGACTATTTGCAATATCATAGAATTGTTTTAGGTTATCATTTTTTCTGATTACAGAGTAATATATTCCTCATAAAAGTTCCAACAATGTCAGAATGTAAAACTTAGAAAGCAAAAGTCTCCTCTAATTCCATCTTGCAGAGGTAATCAATGCTAACAGTTTAGTGTATATTTTGGCATTTTCTCCTATGCATACACTAATAAATATTTAAATACAATTTACCCTATGCACATATTAATACATATTTTAAATGGGTGCCTTTTACTATTTACAATTTGAATTTTGTTTTTTACTTAATAAATGAATCATCGGCTGGGTGCGGTGGCTCACGCCTGTAATCCCAGCATTTTGGGAGGCTGCGGCAGGCGGATCCTGAGGTCAAGAGATCGGGACTATCCTGGCCAACATGGTGAAAACCCGTCTCTACTAAAAATACAAAAATTAGCTGGGCATGGTGGTGTGCACCTGTAGTCCCAGCTACTTGGGAGGCTGAGGTAGGAGAATTGCTTGAACCCGGGAGGCAGAGGTTGCAGTGAGCCGAGATTGTGCCATTGCACTCCAGCCTGACACCAGGCAACAGAGTGAGACTCTGTCTCAAAAAAAAAAACAACAAATGAATCATCACAGACAGCTTTAATATCAGTACATCTAGAGCTATCACTTTCATTGTAATGACTATACATTATTTCACTTAATAGATGTACTATAATTAACCCACTGTTGACAAATTTTAACTTTTAAAACTAAAAGGAGGCTGGATGCAGTGGCTTACGCCTGTAATCCCAGCAATTTGGGAGGCCGAGGTGGGTGGATCACAAGGTCAAGAGATCAAGACCATCCTGGTCAACATGGTGAAACCCCATCTCTACTAAAAGTACAAAAATTAGCTGGGCAAGGTGGTGTGCACCTGTAATCCCAGCTACTTGGGAGGGTGAGGCTGGAGCACAGTCTGAAGTCAGGAGGCGGAAGTTGCGGTGAGCTGAGATTGTATCACTGCTCTCCAGCCTAAGTGACAGAGCAAGAATCTGTCTCAAAAAAACAAAACAAAACAAAACAAAACAAGAACAAAAAAAAAAAACAACCTAAAAGGAAATTTTCCTTTTGTAGATTAAAAAATCTATGTATCAGGCCGGGCGCGGTGGCTCAAGCCTGTAATCCCAGCACTGTGGGAGGCGGAGGCGGGTGGATCACGAGGTCAAGAGATCGAGACCATCCTGGTCAACATGGTGAAACCCCGTCTCTACTAAAAATACAAAAAATTAGCTGGGCATGGTGGTGCGTGCCTGTGATCCCAGCTACTCAGGAGGCTGAGGCAGGAGAATTGCCTGAACCCAGGAGGCGGAGGTTGCGGTGAGCCGAGATCGCGCCATTGCAGTCCAGCCTGGGTAACAAGAGCGAAACTCCGTCTCAAAAAAAAAAAAAAAAAAAAAATCTATGTATCTGATAAAGATTTCAGTGGGTACCAAAGGGTAAATGGTAGAAATTAGGTCTCCTTCCCACCCCTGACTGCCGAGCTTTCAAGCCTCCCTTTTCAGAGGTTACCACTGCTACTGTTTATTTTTCCTTCTAGAGATATATGTACATACAACATATATTTGATAATCTATAACAAATATCACCTTGACATGATAATGGGCAGTAAAGGGAAGAAGATCTTTTTGATGACCCTTAAAATACTCCATGGGGCAATACCTGGTCTGCCTATGGCCAGTCTTGACACTTTTTTCATAACAGTAACTGACATAAAGATGACAAATTTGTGAAGGGCTCTAGTTTTCTTGGCTTTGCTTTATATTTTCAGCTTAATTTTGAGTGTTTTCATAACACTTCAAATTCAATATGGAATTGAGTTGATGATATTGTCTTATACGGGAAACCAGATTCTCCCATATTCCCCATCTTGCATGCTTCTTCACCTCCCAAACTCATGCAGACTAATTGACCTCTGAATACTCCTCTTATTGGCCCCTCTCCATTCCTGTTGCTACCATTTGTTACCTTATACCTATAACTCCTCAGTGTTATCAACATTCTTGAACTTGTTGAAGCAAATTCTAAGGTTACCAGGCCATTAGGTAGAGATTCCCCAGCATTTGAAAAGACCAAAGTTACTCTACACTGGACAATTCTCTGGGCAAATGCCATCACAGATTGTCTTCCAATGGTGAGATCTAAGCCACACAGTACAAAAAAGGGCCTGTGGAAATTCCTTTCTTCTTTATTCCTTCTTTTCTTCCTTCCTCTCCTGCCCCCACCCCTTAATTATTTGAATGTTCAGTATGTGACGGACTCTAGTGCTGAGGATACCATGGAACAGGCCAATGTCTCTGCTCTTAAGACACAAGTTGGGAATGTAAATAAATAAGCAGACAGAAAGAGCAGGGGTGCAGCATGTCATAGGGGCACCATGAAGGACCTCCAATCTCATTGGGTGGACATGGGAAGCATTCTGAGAAAGAGATCTAAGATTCGAGACATGAAGAATGAATCAGCCATTGCAAGGCAAAAGGTGGGTGAAGGCTGGAGGTGGTAGTGCCAGAATGTTTCAGACAGGGAAGGGAAGAGCTTGTTTGTAAGCTCAGAGGCAAAAGAGGAGGAATGGAAAGAACATAGCTGGAGCCAAAGAAACCTGAGAAGTGAAAGGTGAAACTGGAGAGGCTGGTTGGAGAAGGAGGGGCAGGAGAGGACCTGAGAGAAGAGTCAGCTTTCTGGAAGAGCTGTGTCAGCTATTTCCAGACTCCTCATATGCTCTGAAGGTAGTCCCAACATCCAGGTGTTAGGGAGCATAAGTCTGGAGAGAAGTAGTAAAATGATCTGACTGCTTGCTGAATTTTTCTAATCAGTTCTTCAAAATAGGAATACATGGTGTTTTGGAAGGATTTAATTTTTTCACTTAATTTTATTAGGTTGTAAGCAATTTACAGAAGGTTCTGGGAATTTGGATGTATACATATTCCTTTGAACACATGTATAACCTGGGTACTTCTTTTTCATCTGTTTCCTCATTTTAAAAAAGGAGGCCAGGTGTGGTGGCTCATGCCTATAATCCCAGCACTTTGGGAGGCCAAGGTGGGTGGATCACCTGAGGTCAGGAGTTCAAGACCAGCCTGGCCAACACGGTAAAACCCCATCTCTACTGAAAATGCAAAAATTAGCTGGATAGGGTGGTGCACACCTGTAAGCCTAGTTACATGGGAGGCTGAGGCATGAGTCGAGATCTCACCACTACACTCCAGCCTGGGTGACAAAGCGAGACCCTGTCTCAAAAAACCTAAAAAGAAATTGGACTATGGGAACTAACATCCTACATTTCTATGACTATGCATGTTATATTGTGTCAAAAAAACAAAACAAATGTAAGAACTCAGTTGGCTTTATTTGTGATTCTAGAACCAGGCAATTCTTCATTCTGTGAAATAAATGTTCTGATGAGCTGAGCTGACGAATTTGGCTTTATAGACAGAGAAGGTCTGAAGAAAGCAGAAGAAAAGAACAAGTAGTATATTAGTTACTTCTAGACAGAATAACAGACAATAACTGGCTAGTTAATATTAGGTTACTTCAGGCTACGTGTGTGTGTGTGTGTGTGTGTGTGTGTGTGTGTGTGTGTGTGTGTTAGAATTAAAGCAGAGAGACTTCCTTATCATGCTGACTGAAGATTTATAGTGGCCTGTTTGGGAAACTGGCTCTCTTTCTCTCCTGATTTCTCAGGTCACATAACAGCTTGGTTTAGGTTTGGTAACTTGGAACTTTAGCATGGATGGCTCCATTTTTATTTTTATTTTTATTTTTTTTGAGACGGAGTTTCACTCATGTTGCCCAGGCTGGAGTGCAATGGCATGATCTCGGCTCACCGCAACCTCCGCCTCCTGGGTTCAGGCAATTCTCCTGCCTCAGCCTCCTGAGTAGCTGGGATTACAGGCACGCACCACCATGCCCAGCTAATTTTTTGTATTTTTATTAGAGATGGGGTTTCACCATGTTGACCAGGATGGTCTCGAT